GGGAAAGTGGGCTGCCCAGGTGCAGAAAGGCTGGTTGGGCAGCAGAGAAGGCTGCTAGCCTAGGCATCTGCCGACGGGCCCATTCCTCTAACTGAGGCGCGCAGAAAGGAACTTGGGGTCTAGGAACGTGAGTCCCAGCCCTCCGTCCCCCACACCCTGCTGCCCTCCTCCTGTGTTGGTCCCAGGCTGGCCCGCCCAACTGCACAGTGGCCTGAGTAAAGCCGTCCGTTCCCTTCCCCGGCCTCCCTACGTCTGGCAGTGCTCTGCAGACACAACGTCATGAACAGCAGTACTTCAAAAAAAGAAAAGGAAAAAAAAAACACAAGGTGTACCTTCCCGGCGCGTCCCTGCCCCCCACCCTGGGCTGGAAACCATGGCGTCTTTAATGTCCTGCTGGCTGTGTGAAAAACAGGAATTTATGTAACAAGCCCCACGCAGAAAACCTTTTCCTGTTCGGGGGAAAAAAATGTTTTTAATTGTTAGCAAAGTTAAGAGACAGCTCTGTTAGTTGAGCAGCGACCTGAAATGTCCCCAGACAGAAATATGTGGGGCTGTGTTTTGATAAGCGAGGAGATTGCTCTGGGGGCGGCTTTTGCTTTTTGTGTGTGTGAAAGTCCAGGGGGTGAATTCGTGTGTATTTCTGTACGTTAGTGGACCGCCCCCCTCCCCATCCCGCCCTGAACGATGCCACCACCCAGCGCATCCTGCCATCTCCATGGGAGAGCCCTGGCTGTGGAGGCAGATGCTCTGAGGGGACCCCGCCTCTGCCTGGAGTAGCACCACCCCTTCCCCTGGTCTGCACAGCCACCAGGAAGCCACTATCTGGGACATGACGGGCTCAGGAGTCACGCTTCCTCCCCTCCGGAGATTTCACAGTGGCTTATCTGGACCTCTATTGTGTTGAGAGGACAAAGGGGTCGTGATGGCTGTGCTGCTGGCCCAGAGGCCCGGGGCTCTCCAGTGGTGCTCAGGGCCAGTCTGCTTCCTTTAGAGGAATGCAGACCCTGGATGGGTTAGTCCGGTAGACTACAGAAACAAATCCAGGGAGACTCATATGTGTTTAAGAAAGAGCTTTATATACAAGAGCAATTGAATATTGAGAAAACATCCCCGCCCAGTCCAGAACAAGTCCATAGGTCTGACATTAGTCCATACTTCCGATACCAATCTATAAAGTCTTCAGACTCACGCAACACATGAAGTGGTGCCAAATGCAGGAAGATCACAGGCCAGTAGCTGGAACGTCTTTGGGGAGGTCCAGTGGCAGTGGAAGGGTCTCAGCGCTGGCAGGGGTCTCCACGTGGCTCCTTCAGCTCCAGGGCTCTAGCGTAGCTCGTCCACAGGAATGTCTGTCAGGGAGTGAGCATGTGTCCCACCTCCAGTGAGTTATTATCTCTTTAGCATCTCCAAATGAGGTTACCAAGCTGTGACCCCGATCGACAGGCAAAACTCCACCCCTTCCCTCTTAAGTCCCAAATTGACAGCAGATGATATAAGGACCACACTGGGCATTTGTGCGCAGGGCCATCCCACAGCAAGGAGGCAACCAAGAACAAGTGGGCCCTCGGGGCACCATGGGTAAGCTTCTAGAAGCAAGGTCGGTGGTTCAACCCACTCCAGGGCTCTGTGTGAGACGCACCAACTGCCACCGAGCCCATTCCAACGCAGAGTGACCCTGCAGGACAGAGTGGGACCACCCCCTGGGGTTCAGAGACTGTGTCACCCATCACGGGAGCAGGCAGCCTCATCCGGTCGGTGGTTTCAAACTGCTGACCTGACAGCAGCCCAGCTTACAACCTAGGATGCCGAGGCTCCCTCTATGTGAGGAAGACCCACCAGGAAGTCTCCTCCTGTAAAGCCCGCAGCCTCGGAACCCCCCGGGGGTGGGCAGTCCTGCTCCTCCCCGGGTCAGACTTGCCCTGTGGGCACCCAACCCAGCGCCAGCGGTACTTGGCCCCTGCAGCCCAGGATTGATTTCTGGGTGGGAAGGGAGTGAGTGGGGCATGGAGGCAGCCAGCGAGGGCTGTGTCCTGGCCTGCCCTCTCTGTGGCCCGGCCAAGGGGCCTGCCCCACAGCTGGTGTTGCAATCCCGGGGCAGATTGTAGCCTCGAGGGCACTGAGAAGTGTGGCTCTCGGCCCTGCATGCTGAGTCTCGGGTGTTGGTGTCGGTGCTGGTGCCCTGGCCTTGCCCTGCTCTGCAGGAGCTCCGCCTTGGCACAGCGATGAGCATGCAGGCATCCTTGTTGATGGCATGAGGATGTGGGCGCTGTGGCTGCGTCCCTGGGTGTCCAGAGATCCAGCCAGAGACTCTTTGTGGTGGACCAGAGATGCTGGCGGGACCCCAGGTGTTGGTCAGCTGACCTTTGCACTGTTGGCAGAAGAGGCCAGGAAAATCCGGGCGGAGTGCGGAGGGGGGGGGCGCTTGCACACAGCTGTCTCGTCCCAGGGTGCGTGGCTCCTGTGCTCAGGCCAGGCCAAGGGCACCGAACCCTGGTGAAAGGCTGCATGGGTGGCTGAATGAACGGATGTTGAGTGTGCCAGGTGCCCTGTCCGGTTTGGGGAACAGCTTGCTCTAAGGTCAGGTCCCCCCTTCCTGTGAGCCCAGGGCTTTCTCCTTGTCCTTTCCCAGTCCACCCTACATGCCACAGTCTAGCCATGTGGCCAGGAAGGGAGTCCAATTGGGATTAATGTGTAGCCTGGCCCCAGGCTTCCTAAGGAAGCCCGGGAGGCTCTCTGGTCCCGTTGGCCGTGTGTTTGGCATTGTGAGTTTGTGTTGCGGCAGCCCTGCAGTCCTACCCACACCCCACTGGGAAGGTGGTGCCGCCCATGCCCCTCAATTGGGGATCCCCGGCCTCCTTCCCCAGTACTACTTATGCTCCACCATGTCTCACACAGCCCCGCGCTCAATCCCCTCGCAGCCTGCAAGGCTCTACCTCCCTCCTGCTGACGCCAGGCGGAGCAGCCCCCCGGGCCACCTGGCTGGGAAGGGTCTCGCCCAGCTGATGCCCCTCCAGTCGTGAGGCCTCGGATGTACAGTGGCAGCAGTGGTCACCCAGCAGCAGCCGGGCATCACAGAGTGAAGCCTCACTCTCTGCCTTCTTCTCCCGCTTTCTCTTCCATGTTAGTGGTGCTGGTGTGTGTGTGTGCCCACAACCCAGGAAGGGGTGGCACGTAGTTAGTGGGTGCACTTTGGTGGTTACTGGCAGGGAGGTGGGGGACAGGGAGTTATCACTGAAGTGAAAACTTTCCATTTTGGACACTTCAACTGTCTAAAAATTACACACACACACGACTCTTCTTTTTAATTTTAAACAATGCAGCTGTATGCCTAATGGGCTTTGGGGGTATAAAGGAGCCCAGGTATTGTTAACCTAGGGGCTTTCTGTTCCTTAGGAACCTATTTCGCTTCACTGCATTCCCATAACCCAGAACAGTAGAAAGCTCTTGACTCTGGATGGCATGTGTGCCCTCTGGATAGACAGATGCCTGGCGCTGTACTGTGAGTTCCAGCTGAGGCATGGTGGGTTCAGTTTTGAGCCCCTAGCCTCAAGGTCAGCAGTTCGAAACCACTGTTCACTCTGCGGGGGCAAGACGAGCCTTGTTGCCCCCCACAGATAGACAGTCTTGGAAACCCGCAGGAGTGAGCTCTGCTCTGTGCTGTAGGGCCATTAGCAGTCGGAGGGGGCGGTGGCAGGGCGTCTGGTTGGTGTTGGTATTGTGTGGTAAAGGGCCGAGTCTTACCCCCTGTGTGCAGTGGCTTTGTGCTGGGCTGTAGAGAAATGACTGCAGTGATTGGAGTGTCCTCTGCGGTTTCCAGGCCCGCACCCGAGAATCTATGCGGGGAGGGGGGCTGGCCACTTGGGAGGCGATTCAGCCCGTGGTGCCACGTGGGCTGATGAAAGCCGTGGACGTGGAGGTCCAGAGAGCTTCCGGTTAGTGAGAACAGCTGCTCTCCGGAAGGGAAGCACCCCTTCAGACCTGGACCTTTCAGGCTGTGGTGAATCGGTACCCTGAGGGTGGCCCCCACATGGCGAATTCCGAGGCACACGGTAGAACGCAGCAGTCTGGCAGGAGCCAGCAGGCCAGAAGGCGGGGTGTCATGTGGCAGATGTCTAGGAGGGGCCCTGAGAATGGCTCAGGTCGGAAGTGTGCATATGGGCTCCCAAATGTGGTTGGCACCTGCCCATTTGGCAACCTGAAGGACCAGTGCCCTTTCCACTTGTGAGTGCCACCTTAACTCCATGTGGCTAGAGGTAGGGAGAATGCCTTGGGGGCAGGACGCCCCCCCCCCATCAGCATCCACCCTCTGGAGATGGGGTGCACGAGGATCCTCGAAGGGCAGGTGTAGAAAGGATGTCTCCTGGCCCTTACGTGGAGCACTGGAGCTGAGCATAACTTTAAGTGGTTTTAAAATGCGTTCTTGTAATTCTCCCACAAATTAGTCTATAAAGAGCCATCTTAAACGGTGTTTATGATGATGCTTGAAGGCAGTGGTGGTTAAGTGGCGGGAGTGTCAGCTTCCACACACGCCCCGCCCCACCCCCGTCAGTGGGTGCTGCTAGGGTGCCGCACAGGGCGCCGTGCAGCTGAGAGTGAGAAGAAAGGCCCGGTGATCTACATCCAAAGCCAGCCAGTGGAAAGGAAACCCTGTGGGCATCACAGCAAGCCTTCAAGGAGGTGGCCCAGGGCCAGGCAGCACTTCATTCGGTTGAGCAGGGGATCCCCGGGACTTGGGGAGACTCTTGCTGTCGCTAACAACACAGTAAGGGGGCTTACTGCCAGTTGGCCACCTTGCTGAGACGCAGAAACTCTTCACACCCCCCCACAGCGTCGAGAAGCCCTCTGCTCGTGGGCTCCACACTGTTACGATGGGTTTCAGACTGGGTGTTGGAAGCCCCGCATTCTGTGTGCTTCCCACGTACTCCGTTGCTGGGGTGGATGGTGAAGTTTCCTGCATGGAGAAGGCGTCATGCTTCTAACACGGTGTTTCTGCTTTCCAGAACTCGATCCGTCACAACCTGTCCCTGCACAGCAAGTTCATCCGTGTGCAGAACGAAGGCACTGGGAAGAGTTCCTGGTGGATGCTGAACCCTGAGGGGGGCAAGAGCGGGAAGTCCCCCCGGAGAAGAGCGGCGTCCATGGACAACAACAGTAAATTCGCCAAGAGCCGAGGCCGGGCTGCCAAGAAGAAAGCCTCCCTCCAGTCCGGCCAGGAGGGAGCCGGGGACAGCCCCGGCTCGCAGTTCTCCAAGTGGCCGGCCAGCCCCGGCTCCCACAGCAACGACGACTTTGATAACTGGAGCACATTTCGCCCCCGGACCAGCTCCAACGCCAGCACCATCAGCGGGAGGCTGTCGCCCATCATGACGCAGCAGGACGACCTCGGGGATGGGGAGGTGCATCCGATGGTGTACCCCCCGTCGGCGGGCAAGATGGCGTCCACCCTGCCCAGCCTGTCGGAGATCAGCAACCCTGAGAACATGGAGAACCTCTTGGATAATCTCAACCTCCTCTCCTCGCCAACGTCCCTGTCCGTCTCGACACAGTCTTCGCCCGGCGCCATGATGCAGCAGACCCCGTGCTACTCGTTTGCACCCCCAAACACCAGCCTCAACTCGCCCAGTCCAAACTACCCCAAGTACACGTACGGCCAGGCCAGCCTGAGCCCCCTGCCACAGATGCCTATGCAGACCCTGCCAGACAGCAAGCCGGGCTACGGCGGCCTGAGTCAGTACAACTGTGCACCCGGACTCCTGAAGGAGCTCCTCACTTCGGACTCCCCGCCCCATAATGACATCATGACACCCGTGGACCCCGGGGTGGCCCAATCCAACAGCCGGGTGCTGGGCCAGAACGTGACAATGAGCCCCAGCCCGGTCATGCCCACGTACGGGGGCCGGGCCCCTCACAACAACATGATGAGCCCCAGCGCTCATCCCCACCCCGGGCACGGCCAGCAGCCGGCGGCGGCGGTCAACGGGCGGGCCCTGCCCCACGCCGTCAGTGGCATGCCTCACGCCTCGGGCCTGAGCCGCCTGGCCCCTGGGAAGCCCTCCTTACAAGGGCCAGTGCCTCACCACGCCATGCAGATGAGCACTCTTGGGGGCTACTCCCAGGCCAGCAGCTGTCACGGCTACAGCAGGGTGGGCCTGCTGCACCAGGAGAAGCTCCCCAGTGACCTGGACGGCATGTTCGTTGAGCGCTTGGACTGTGACATGGAGTCCATCATCCGGAATGACCTCATGGACGGCGACACCTTGGACTTTAACTTTGACAACGTGCTGCCCAGCCAAAGCTTCCCGCACAGCGTCAAGACCACCACGCACAGCTGGGTGTCAGGCTGAGAGGTGAGTGCGCCCTGCCATCAGAGGACCCCCGGGAAAAGCGAGCTTCTGAGCGTCCCTGGTAAGGGCCTTTTGGTGCCGGCTGCGTGCCCATCACGCTGCTCATGCGAGCCCCTTTTAAGCTCGGGCATGGGGACACGTCCTCTCACCGCTTTAAAGGTTTCCTTTTGACAGGCGGGCGGCTGCATCTCCTGAGCGGCTCTTCAGCGAATGCGCGTTTGATACAAATCAAATGCTGGGGGGGAAGAGGAGTTTTCCCCCATCGAATGAACGAACGTTCGCAGAGCTTCTGAGCGAGAGAAGGCTCTGGCACACTGTCCCCGCCCCCCACCAGTATGTCCGTCACTCTTAATTTTTAATTCGGCTGTATATTTTCATTGTGCGTGTGCATGTGTGTGATTTTTCCCCCCTTTTTCTTTTTTCAGGCTACACGTAAAGTACTTGAGATGGTCTGACAGCAGGCACTGAGAGAAGCCGTCCAAAGATGTCCTTCACCCCCTCCCCTACTTTTAGTTTTCTTGATTAAAAAAAAAGAAGAGGAAAAAAAAAAGCATCCCTTTTTCCCCTCGTCAGACTTGGCAGCGGAGCCCCCTTCCTGCACAGGATGTTTGCCTGGAGCGCCGGCTCCGTGCTGCTGCAGATAAGGACCGCGCGCTGGAACGTCCTGAAGTGAGGAGCCAGGCTCGCCAGCCCCGTGTGCTCCCACTATTATTATTATTATTATTTTTTGTATATAAGCAGTAGCTTTCGGACTTGTATTTGTGTGTGCTTTCGTTTTGGTTTTTGGTTTGTTTTTTTTTAAATATCCATTTGGTCCAAGGAAAAGTTTATACTCTTTTTTATTGGTATACTGTTTTTTAAATATCCATTTGGTCCAAGGAAAAGTTTATTATACTCTTTTTTTTTTTGGTATACTGTGATGGTCTCATGCCCTTGCTAAGTTAAAGTTTTGTGCGTACTACCTGTGTCCTGCTGAATGGACGAATCGCAGCGTCAAGACCCTCCCGCCTGCCGCCTCCCTGGGGCAGCTCTGGGAGGGGCTCCTCTCCCCACATCCTTCCTCCCGAATCCGAGGAGCAGCCAGTCTGCTGAGTGAATGAACTTGTCAGACCCGCGGGGGGCGGGCCGGGTGTGAGTGTGAAATGCCAGCCTGTTGTACAGGTCTTTCCTTTTTTAAAAAGCCCCCTCTGGTTGTCTGTCTCTTTTGTTCTTTGCAAATTTGTACATGCATTCGAAAAGGTTCTGCTCCCCAGGGGAACAGTTTCCATAGTCAGCGCTGGACCTTAGAGGGCGACCATCAGGAATGGCTCCCACCCGATGATGTCGTCTTGAAACTAGTCTTGGTTTGTTAACTAGTCTGCTGGTAAGTGTGTGGAATCACAGGTATTCAGGGGCCTCACTCACAAGTCTCCATTTTGTATCTTGTAACTGGATTAGTGACTAATTTTTCTACGTGCTTAACTGGTTTGTACACTCTGGACCTCTACCTGATGCTTTCTGACTAACCCTTTAAACCTGTTGTGATCAGTACCTGGGTGCTCAATGTCTCCGGCCCCCCTTTCTGACAAGAGAGTGGTGCATCCCGTGTGTGGGAGAACCCGCTCTGTGTGTTTTAACCCTGTGGAGTTAAGATGACTCGCTCAGCCTGGGTGTCCCCCCCCCCCGGGAGCTCTGCACCAGGTCCTCGACACGTGAGTTCCAGCAATGGTCCCCTCATGACCCCTGCTGCGCCCGCTCTCCCGCCTCTACCCCCACCCCCGAAGCTCTGCCCGGAAGAACGCTGTCCGCGCCGCCGCTGCCCCTGTCCTGCAGATCACTTAGCCGGCCTCTTTTGAGTCGGAGGAGGAAGTTTTAAAACTGGGATTTGTATGTTTGGGGTGTTCGTTAGTACAGATGGCTTTTCTGACCATGACTAAAGTTGCTTAGAAGATGGGGCGTCTGTCTATAGCACCCTACACTACAATTCAGATCACTGCGCACGCCCTCACTCTGCCCAGCGGCCTCTAAACTGTCGACAGGCTGGGCTGGTTGGCTTTGCATCCCATGGACGCCATCCGCAGCTTCGACTCGTGGGCTGTGCCCTAAGCTCACATGCACATGGAGCCAGCTGTCCACTTTCTCTGCTCTCGGGCCCAGACCCCACCTGCTTGGTTCTGCACGGGAAGTTCACCTCCACTGGCTCTGTGTCCCTAGTGTAAGCTTCCCACTGGGACTTGGATGGTTTGGAAAATTCATTAGAAAGCCCATTGTTAACACCCTCCATTGTTTGCACACACACACACACCCCCCCTCCCCCAATTGGCCAAGTAAGGTGGGCCGAGACCTTTCCAGAACCTTTGGTGCCAAAGTGCTCCGTCTCCCCACACTGCCTCTTGTCCTCCTCCCGTCACCCAGCGAGCCCTGGAAGACCCCTGCCCACCTTACAGCGAAAACTCCCATTTCAGTCTCTCCACTTCCCAAGGAGACTTCCAGAACGCTGTTTCCTCCCCCAAGTCGATGTAAATACACATGCTTTTCTCTCTGATCCCCAAACCCCCACCGCCCTTTGTGTGTGTGGAGTTGACAGTCTAGCTCACCGTGGGGTTCAGGGGGCTCCCACAAAAGAGAATTCTGTTTCTTTGGAAATCAAACATTATGCGACCTCTGGTTTTTTGTTTGTTTCATTCGGTTACCCCCTTTCTGTAAGAACCCTGGCTTTTGGCATAGCGTATCGGTTATTGTAAATGATTGCTTTGTGAACTGTGCAAATGTTATCACCTATGCAGCCTTTGTTTGATTCCTTTCCTCTGGTTTGTACTGTTATTAAAAGCATTGTATTATAAAACTATTCAGATATTTTAAATGTAAAGATGTATTGTTTCCGTAATATAGATGTATGGAATATATTTAGGTAATAGATGCATTACTTGGAAAGTTCTGCTTTGACAAACTGACAAAGCCTAAATGACTTAGCAAACGTTGTATCCTGAGAGGAGGCCGATAAGTACACTTGAGACGGCAGCAGTGTTCCCAAGGTGGGAAGCCGTTCATCTGCTAGATAGATGGACGTTAACAGTACGCCACCCCCCCACCCCCAGTTACTTGAAATTATTGTATTCAGTTCTTAAACGAGTTCTTAATTTATAACTTGATTTTAGATGATAATGTTTTCTCTTGAGGTTTTAGTTTGGCAGTAATCATTAAGAAAAACATGCAGTGTGGCATATACAAACCCAACCACCTGGTGTGACAATTGGCGTCTCCTCACCCCCAACCCCCACAAGGGCGTTGCTCAGCCTGGCAGTGTGGTCAGGGACGGGCACAGCAGTCCAGGCAGGGCCCAGTCCCACCCTCTCGCATTTCACTACCCGAGTTAGCGACAGTACAGAGTTAATGTTCCTGTTTTGATACTCTATGAGAAGTGCCTGATGATGCCGATGTACTTACAGACACAAGAACAATCTTTGCTGTGATTGTATAAAGCCATAAATGTACATAAATTATGTTTAAAATGACTTGGAGTCTTTTAATTTTTTCCCCCCTGATGGTGTAGAATGAGCGCTTCACTCAAAAGACTCTTTTTTTTTTGTTAAACATCAGCTGCAATGCCACACTCTAGGGCAGCGGTTCTCGACCTGTGGGTCCGCAACCCCTTTGGGGGGTCATACGACCCTTTCACAGGGGTCGCTCAATTCATCACAGTAGCAAAATTATAGTGACAAAGCAACAACGAAAATAATGTTATGGTTGGGGGGTCACCACCACATGCGGAACCTGTATTAAAGGGCCGTGGCATTAGGAAGGTGGAGAACCACTGCTATAGGGGAAGATAACATCTCCTTTGGTGGGAGGAGGGACCTGTCCCCGGGAGTGGATCTCAGCCCCACGAGAGGTAAGAACCAGTGGGTCCCTGATGGCCAGCCTTGGGCTCCGGGCTTCCTTTCGGAATGTCTGCATTCCAGAGGTCTGCAGCTGTGTGGTCATCACCGGGCTTATTAAATCTCCTGTCAGAACACACTGCCGAAGGTGAACAGACGTGCAGGGCAGCGAGGAGGACCGGCTGGAGGATGCAGAGCGGGCACCCAGGACTGAGTGCCCACGAGGCTGCAGCTCTCTGGGCCAGGCGGGTGCCCGCCTTCACACATCTTGCTGAAGCAAGGGAAGGAGGGTGATGGGTCCGACTTCCAGGGACCACGGGGTACAGGTTTTGTGTGTGCCTAAGAAAATGCCTGCAGAATGAGCCGTGGTTGACTTTCTGCTGATGCCCCTTCAACCCCTGCGGAAGCCCTGTCTTCACCTGGCAGACAGCAGGCTGGGTTTTTTGGGGGCCAGTGAATGGATGTTGTCGTAGCAAGGGAATTGGTTATTGTACCGCTGATCTGTTTAGAAACCAGGTTAGTCTAACAACGTGCACATGCACACATGCATGTACACACACACACACACACACACACACAAGCAATGGAACACACAGTGCAGCACATGAAAGCTCACACCGACCCAATGCAGACCATGGCCTTTCCTTGAGAGATGGAGACAGGTCCTTTCATTCCCTCTGCAGGGGCCCAGGGCCATGCGTCGATGCCCATTTCTTGGGACCAGTCCCCTCGTTCTCCATCACTTGTTACACCTGCAAAAGGAAGGCTCACCTGATCAAGCCCCTGGGCAGGCGGGCAGAGGAGGAGACTTCCTTCCTTGGACATTTTCTAGGCCTCTGCTGTGACCCAGAGAGACAACTCAGGATGTGTACCTTGGATGGATTCTTGACCATAAGCCAGCCACACTGGAGGACTTGCCTGTGGCTCTGGTCACTCCCTCTGTTTGAAATGCTGGTGGTGGGGTAGGTAGGTGAAGGGCTGGTCCACTGTGTACTGATGAGCCGCTTCTGAGTAGGCATGTCACTGCCCAGTGGTGCCCGGTAAAGACTGAGCCTGCAGCTGAGCAAGGCAGTGGCCTCTCCAATCCGTATGTTCACGGAAGGTTTCTGTAGGACAATATGGACTTTTATAAGTGGCCCATGTAACTTAAATATCTATGAACTCAGAGATGTTTTCATGTTGAGAGCTGTAGAACAAAGAGCTCCCCTCCCCCCAAAAAAATTAGAATTTGGGATGGAACAGGAAGGGAGGATGCTGGGATGGAGGTAGGAATCGGGTGGGGAACAGTGTATCAGGAAGAGGTGTGAGGTGGAGAAGATTAAATCAGCAGAAGCTCTTTAGCTTCTTGGCCTAGAGAGAACCAGAGGGTGGAGTGAGCCTCTCCCAGTGAATGGGAGACCTTTTAGGATTGGAAGGGGATTTGGATACTGAGCAGGCTTCCCGGCATGCTGCAAATGGTCAATGCACCTAGTGGTTAACCAAGAGGCTGGAGGGTCAAGGGTCGAGTCTACCCAGAGGTGCCTTGGAAAGAAGAATTGGAGATGTTCTTCCAAACCTTTGCAGCCCCCGAAACAATCCCATACCCCCCCAACCCGGCACGCTTCACCCCTGACAGATGTGGCGTCACCATGAGTCAGAATCCACTTGGTGGCTACTGGTTCGTCCCACTGAGAAGACACCGGCATATTTTCCTATCAGAAGAGAGAATCGGGGTAGTGTTCTTCGACTGAGAGGTGACAGGATGCTGCCTCCCTCCCATTCCTTCAGCCCCCCTGCAGTCAGGCTGAGTGAAGTTTCTTGGTGTTGGTATCTTTTGTCCTGTTCACAGCATCATCCCAGAAAGGAAAGTCTGTGTTTGCACCGGAAGTCACAGGGCAGAAGGTTGGCCATTCTCCAAGACGGTGGGGAGTGGCAGCTTCGTGAGGGCCTGGGTTCCGTTCTTCCAGTACCGGGCCATGCAGCCGTGGTCCACCACGCA